GAGAGCAGGAGGCGGGGTTACCAATCTACGAGTTCGCTGCTTTTATATTTTGTCACCAAAGTCTCCTGTAGCAGAAAAAAAGTCACTAGATTTGGCGCTAGGCGCTTTTTTGAAATAAAAGTACTAGAGGGGTCTGAAAAGTCGCTAAATAAAAGCGCTAAGTTGGCAACACTGCTCTTCACACTGTTTGCTTCTGAATGGTTTGCTGCTGTCTGTTTGGACCTTCCTGAACATGTGCAGCAAATGGACTGATCCAATATAGTGGACACTGAACTGCCTAGTTTTGCCTAATGATAAATCCACAGTTGCTAACATCCGTGGCCCCATTTACACTTCCCTTTTGAAACCGTGCCAAGATCAGTCCCAGCACTGTAACTGAGGTAACTGTTAAGTGTAAATGGCACACCAAACTGAACTGGACTGCGACAGATGGAACAGAACCGACCATGGTACTAGTTCATCAGTAGGGCTCAGCAAGGTTCAGGTTTGGCGTGGTTCTCAGATAACAAAGAACGCATGAGCAGACCGCGTCATCTCCTTACAGTCAGCCTCCACAATCATGAAATTTCAGAGATTTATAAAAATACTAGCTTCCCTACCGTGCCACACAATTTCAGTGATGGTTCTATTTATCAGTGTGATAGACCTCAACGTCTGTTGTTGTTTCCTGCATCTGTAAGCCCTGATTAGACTATCGTTAATCATATCCACTACTCAAAAGCTGACTATATCAAGTAATTTCACTGCTGCGTTCTTTTGCAATTATAACCAAACTTCTGGAATGATACGGGCGCCGCCATGTTGGTTTGCTTGTTTCAGAGCATGTGAGCAGAGTTGAGTGTGGAGCGGAAGAAATATTGTGGAGCGCAGAGCGGTTTTTAATTCAAAGGCCAGAGCGAGGATTTCGCTCCAATTCGCTTTAACTTTATTTAAATTCATGTTTGACTTAAAACCTAGGCCGATGCCTATGCTGTAGTCTGTGCCTATAATCTGTTATAATCCATGTTTCAACTTTACCATGAAATCGCCAAGACGAGGATTGCATATTGTGTGATAAAAAGTGGGATAAAATATGATAGAAACATGCACTATCTATACTTAACAATACAGAGTGGGTTTACATAAATAGAT